GTCTTGTTTCTTTTCTCGTTTTTCTTGTTTTTGTATTGCTGCCATCAAATCTGCTAGGCTGTAGTCTGATTTGCCGCTTCTCGTTTCCATTTTTTTTTCTGTCCCACTCTCTGACACCAATTTGTTACGTCTCCGTTTGTTAATTGATTTTTCCGTAACTTCGTTCCAACGAAACTTTAACGACACAAGTCTTTACTTAATAAAACTGGTTTATTCTTTCCGAATATGCGATACACTTAATCTCAATACTCGCGCTAAAACAACACTGTGACGAACGAACGTTAACTTCAACAATACCGTGTGACTGCAGTTCAATTATTCACTATCTACCCAGACACGTTACATTCCCCTCTTATATATATCCGCCTACCCTATATCTAGTAAGAACTAGAACATTCGCCAAAGTACAGGATAATTCAAGAAAGGAGAGAGCGTGAGAATCACATGATCTCGATGACGCAACAGCTACATCAAAAAACGAGAATAAGTGAAACATTGAATCACTTTTCAGTTGAAAGAGTGCCAGTCATTCAGTGAACTGTGTAGTTTCAGTAAAGTATTCGGATTACTGATAGTTATCGCGTGTATTCAGTTACTAGATCGTTTAGCTATAAAATTGTACAAGTGAGTTTATTTTTATGTTAGTAGTGTGCCATTAGTGAGTAAATTTCTGCTGAAAGTGAAAACGTTATTTATGAACTAAGTCTTACAGCTGTCTATAAGTGACACTGTTAGTAACCTGTAGTAAACATTAAAGTTCGTTTGTTTGTAGTTAAGCACAAAGCTATACAAAGGGCTATCTGTGCTCTGCCCACGACGGGTATTGAAACCCGGTTTCTTGCGTTGTAAGTCTGCAGACATGCCGCTGTGCCACTGAGGGCAAACATTAAAGAAGAAATAAACTAATTTGTTATAGTTACGTGGATTGGACTTTACATTATTTATATCAAATATTGTAAAAGAACCCACCAATTAAAGAAAAACAGTGATTTCAGAAGTGAGATTATTTTATAACTTCACATAATTTAAACATCGAAACCATATCCAGGAGCGAGATCAAGATAACATTTAAAGAAGAATTAAGAACCATAATAAATAGCCACAAAGAATATGAAAGAAGTTTATGGAAGTGTTTTGAACGTTCTTAAATGTCAACGATGATTCAAAAAATTTCGATCATGTGACTTTAGCCTTAAAAACTGTGATGGCAGGAGCCGACATGTTGGAATTGATATTGATGCTCTGAAGACACTTGTTGAGTCTAACCCAAGGCAACAAACTCGTGAAATGGCCTGAAATTGCATGTTTCTCATGAAACAATACATAAATATCTAAGGAATATGGGAAAACTCCTTTAAAGAACATTGAACATTGCTTTGTCTCTTTTGGAGCGTAATGCACGTGAACCATTTTTGGAAAGAATTGTCACCGGTGATGAAAAATTGATTCTCTATACAAATATTAAACGCCAAAAAACAATGGCTCAGTCCTCGACAAAAACCCATCTGACCCCAAAACCTGGATTCCATCCCCAGAAAGTGATGCTTTGCATTTGGTGGGACATCAAAGGAGTAATTCATTTTGAACTCCTCAATCCACAGAGAACTATCAATGCAGAGATCTATAGTCAGCAACTGGAATGTTTAAATCAATCCCTTCATAAGAAATGCCCTTCACTCGTCAATTGTAAAGGTGTTCTTCTTCTCCACGATAATGCACCTCCACATGTGGCACATTTGACGCAACACAAGATTATGGAATTGGGTTATGAAGTCCTCCCCCACCCGCCATATTCTCTAGATATGGCACCATCAGACTGCTATATTTTTCGTTTGCTGCAACACCATCTTAATGGGAAAACGTATGCAAATGTGGAAGGTGTTAAAGAGGACATTAACATGTTTTTTGCT